TTTTTCCCTAATTCGAACCAGCCTTTCTCTCTTTTCTTCTTTCCTCTCCTACTTCTTGCTGTCTACTTTACTCTACAGTCAACGAACAAGACAGAATTCTATGGCAGGTCAAACTTCAACAGTTTCAAAGGGAACTTGTCAAGAAAGTGCCAGATGTCTATGCATGGCAAGCTAAAAATAAAGTTCATGAAGTGATTACTGATCAGAGAACAATGGATTAATTTCTGTAATAAGTTCTTCTGGTGTGCAAGGTAGCCCATAGTCTTCCACAACAGCAGCTGCAGCATCCAAAGGTGTCTTTCCTAGCATTTTATGAGCTTCTCTCCCATCCCACTGTTTGCCATACTTAACCAAAAATACTTTCAACACTTTGCTCACTATGCCATCTGCCATTTAGCTGAGTATAAGTGAAATTGTAAAACCAAATAAATAAAGATAATGATACTACTACCAGAGGAGATTATAACATATAAAACAAACAGAGTTGCATACTGTTAGGTAAGTAAATACAAAGAAATATTTGAACTGAGGATCATAGGATGAGAATAAAGGGGTCATTGGGTGTAACAGTAAAATCATGGGCTGATAAGCATGAAAAATGCAGATTCAAGTCTCAGAGTGGCCACTTTATCTCTCCCAAAGTTCTGGATGGACAAAATATCATTACGTAATGGCCCTCTTCCCATCCTCCCTGGTTGTATTGCATCCATAGCAAACAGACAGGAATTATCACAAACTATTTGATGTGTTGGCTGTGTCCCACATGGAAAACATCCTATTGGAATAACTTACATGTTTTCTTGTATGATTGAAAAGATAGGAGGTATTCTAAAAATGACTGTTTCTAGGCCCCCAAACATGTATGACATGACTCCATAGGAATGGCATGGTTAAAAAGGAAATAGGAAAACTTTAAAAAGAAACAGTAAACAAGAGAGTACAAATTCACCTGTATTAAGCAGTGTACCATCCAAATCTAGGATGACACATGAAATCAGCTTCTTTAAGGGTTTTCCTGTCGCCATTTTTACAACTTAAGCTCTCAAACTAAGATTATGTTTCCATCTGCAAAAGAGAGCAGTTTAATTAGTGGATCATCAACAGATGGCTACTAACAAGACTAGGATATCTACATACTACATATATATGTTTACATATACAACACACACACAATCTCTTCTAGCAGGTTGAGGAGTTAGATCCATGAAAGACTTCACTACTTATTTTGCACAGTGGAGAGTAATTACGTTTGAATCATACTAAAAAACTCGATCTCTTCTAGCAGTATAGCACCATAAAACACGTTATGCTCAGGAAGTGTAAACCATCTTTATTTGCTTTAAAAGAAAACATGAAGATAGAATGAAGGAAAAAATGAGTGGTTTTGCATGAGAAGCTCCATTCCTAAAGATATCATTATCCATTACTCTTTCTTTCCTAAAAAACTCAACCTCTTCTAGCAGTAAAGCACCATAAAACATGTTATGCTCAGGAAGTGCAAACCATCTTTATTTGCTTTAAAAGAAAAACATGAAGATAGAATGAAGGAAAAAAATGAGAGGTTTTGCATGGGAAGCTCCATTCCTAAAGATATCATTATCCATGGCTCTATCTTTCCTGATATAAAAATGAAACTGTCATAACGAAGAGTAATAGGTCTTCATAGATTTCCCTTCAATGGGGTGAAATTCTTTTACTCTCTTTTCATGTAAGATATTATCCTTTTAGTTTCCTTTTGAACAAAAAGTGTTTTTTCCCTTTCTCAGTCTATCTTCTTTGGCATCACCCTGGATTTTTTGAGGCAGGTATCCTGATTTTGTTTTCTTTGTATTTCAAGTAGTTATTACTTTTTCTTGGTTCTGGTTTCTTGGATTTTGGTCATACGTGGAGAAATTTCTTGGTTTATTCTTCTGAATACTTGACTTTACTTTAGCTTAACAATTTGATGCTTATCCTCTGGCTCCATGGAAAAGAATTTCATCCCTTCACCTCTAGGGATTAATCCTTGTAATTTCTTATTTATGGCTAACATACCCTCAGTAATGTTTGGAACGTTGTCTGATTCATACTTTGACAAGTCTAAAATAGAGATAAAGATCAACTGCAAGAGATTCAAAGTAAGCAAGTACTACCAGGCATGTTGGTTACTTAAGGAAAGACAGAATTCGGAAGTATTTTCCAGTTTCAGGACTCTTGTTGTAATGAATGGTGGCGGAAGTAAGCAAGTACTATCATCTACTTCATGCATTAAACAAAAATAACAAATACTCAACCATCGTTCATAACCACAACATATGGTGGCGGAAATATATGTAGAAATAAAACTTGAACAACTAAAGCAACACTATATTAATGAACAACCACAACTCCAATATAAATTCCTTATTCCTGAAGCAAACCAGTAAAGTATTGACCTAAATTCTAACTTCAAGCAACAGAAATCTTTAACAATTCTTTTTGGCGAGTTAATACCGTGGGATTTTATAATAGTACGTAATGAGAAAGGGTATTACCGTATTAGCAATTGGTGAGAAAGACGTGATGGAGCAAGTAGTGTCGTTGGTCAATTGAAGTCGAGAGTGAACTCCATGATTGTTTTCCCAGCAGAAATGGATAGCAGAGGCGTACGTACCGACGGTACGGTGCCGTAATAGAGACCCAGAGGAAAGGATTAGGAAAAAGTACGGAAACACACGATGCAGAATTCAACCCGTTTAGGACGTACGCTCTGCGCAGGCTCTTCAGGACAGGGCCGACAGGAGTAAGAAACCAATTCAATTCGAGGAGATTGTTTCATTTGCGACAAAGACCCCTCTCAACTTTTACATTGCAACAAATACCCTAGAGTTGAGATGATAAAAGGCGTTAAATTATTAAAATATCCCACTAGATTCTTTTTATTTTTCCCCATTTTCTATTAAAACTTAATAAAAAATACCTCTATTGCTTTTCACGAGAAATACTTTTGTTCAATGTTTTAAAAACCGACCCGGAGGCCAAACCGTTTTTACCTCGGGGTCGCGGGTCATCGGTTCGACTGATAGAACGGTTTAGGTCGTGCCACATCATATATATATATATATATATATATTTATACATATATATATGTATAAATATATAAATGTGTATTTTATTAATAAATAATATATTTTAGATATGTTATATGTATTTTTATATTTAATTTATATTTTTTAACTCAATTTTTAATTTTTTATTTATAAAAAATATTAAAATTATAATTTAAGGCCAAAAAAGGGTTTTTTTGCAAAAATAATGGGCATGGCGCCTTGAGACGCATGGATCTCGAAAAGTTACTCAAAATAAAAAAAAAATCACCTTAATCGAACATCGGAGTGCAAAGTTATGGCCTCCGAAAGTTTGCATACATTGAGTGTGCAACTTGCGACTCAATGACCGGGTCAACGATTGAACTGGCCGGGTCAAACGATTCTTGACCAAGTCAACGATTTTTTATCGTTTGACGGGTCTTGACTAAACCGGACTCAAAATCTTGATTGAGTGACAGTTCAAACAATTTGATCGATTGAATCAACGATAAGTTGAAAACATTGCTTTTGTCATCTTATCCCATTGTCGAAAAAGGAAAAAATCCCCTATAAGTTAATTAAAAAGGACACTCACCCTAAGAAAAAGAGAAAAAAAAATCTTTGCTTATGGATTTTGAAAACTTTGGAGAGGCTTTGATACGTTATATAAGGGAAAATTCTACTTTAATTAGTACCCTACTATGGGAGTAGTGTTAAGTTAGTACCCGAACTTCCAAATGTGTTGTTGTAGCATCCAAACTTGTAAAAAGTGTCAAGTTGGTCCGAAACTGTTAATGAATGTTAAATATCATATAAAAGGACAAAAATGCCTTTTACCTATCATTTAATTTTCTTACGATTGAAATCCGATTCTTTTTCCAAGGAAAAAGAAAACCTGCGTTTTATTGTTGAGAACAACAACCACAACATAGAAACGACAGATCAATGGGGCCCTTTCAACTGGCTACAGTAAGCATCAGCTTGGGATGTTAGAACTGCATCAAAGCCTTGAATATGATAGCAGTCTAGAGGTGTCAATTGGACGGATTTGGTCCAACCCGATCCAATCCAATGTGAGTCCACTTATAAATGGACTGCACCCAATTCAGCCCAAATCCAATACAAGCCAAATCCAATCCAATCCATTAAAATGTAAATGGATTGGATGCAATCCAATCCAAACCGAATGAAATATAAAAAATTATATAAAAGCACTTTTAGCATTGAAAAAGCACTTTTGCAAAAGTACTTTGATAAAAATATTTTCATAAAAGTGCTTTTACAAAAGCACTTTATTGAAAGTATTTTGAAAAAGTGTTTTTGTAAAAATACTTTTTTAAAAGCACTTTTGTAAAAGCACTTTTCGAAAAGTAATTCCAGACTTATAAAAGTACTTTTGTAAAAGTAATTTTATAAAATTACTTTCATAAAAGTGCTTTCGTAAAAGTACTTTTATAGAAGTGTTTTTATAAAAGTACTTTCGTAGAAATGTTTATAAAAGTACTTTCGAAAAGTACTTCAAAAAAGTGCTTTTGTAAAAGTACTATAAAAGTACACTTTTCAAAAAGTACTTCCATAGACTTTTAGAAAAGTACTTTTGTAGAAGTGCTTTTGTAAAAGTACTTTTATAAAAACACTTTCGTAAAAGTGCTTTCGTAAAAGTAATTTTATAAAAGTACTTTCGTATAAGTGCTTTTATAATTTGTAAAAGTGCTTTCGTAAAAGTTCTTTCATAAAAGTGATTTTCTAAAAGTGCTTTTATAAAAGTACTTCTATAAAAGTTATTTCATAAAAGGCATTTTCGTAAAAGTATTTTTTGTAAAAGTGATTTTATAAAAGTGCTTGTGTAATAGTACTTTTACAAAAGTGCTTTTATAAAAGTGCTTTCGTAAAAGTACTTTCATAAAAATGCTTTTATTAAAGTGATTTTGTAAAAACACTTTTATAAAACTACTATAAAAGTGTTTTCATAAAAGTACTTTTGTAAAAATGCTTTTGTAAAAGTATTTTTATAAAAGTGCTTTCGTAAAAATACTTTTCATAAAAGGGCTTTTATAAAAATATTTTCGTAAAAGTACTTTCATAAAAAGTGATTTTATGTAGTTTTCAGTTTTGAATGATTTCAAATTGGACAAGGATTTGGCCTTGTGATCGGATTATTGGAAATTTCGTTTAGGTCTAATTCAAATCAATAAGAATATGGAACAATTTATTTTGGATTGGCCCAATCCAATAATTATAGTGGACCGTCCAAATCCGATTTAATAAGGTTTGGATCGGATTGGATCTAAACCAAAACCGGTCGATTGACACCCCTAGATGGCACTTGCTCAGTTAAATAGCCAAATGCTTTGAGTGAAATGAATGCATCGGCTAAAGTTCTCTAGAAAGTAGTAGTCTTTGACCATGTAAGTTGTAACCCCACATACTTGAACCGAATGAGATTTGGAGCAGATAGTTTGAGTTTGCACTTACTTAGACCACTACAATCATCTATTGTCAAGCTTTTTAAGTGTTTGCGAAGAAATATTTAGTATCTTGAAGTTTATTAGTTGACGTTGACATTTTTCCATGCTCAAGTCTACAAGAAGAAAAGTCTTCTTTTGGAAGAGGTGTTGACTTGTCCGATCTGAGTTCAATTAATTACAAATGGACTGGACCTAATCTAGTCCAAATCCACTACAAACCAAATTCAATCCAACCTATTAAAATGTAAATGGACCAGATTGGATCCAATCTAAATAGAATGAAATATAAAAAAATATATAAAAAACAAAACATATAAAAAATTACAAAAATATATTAAAATGAAAAATATACCCTTTTGGCATTGAAAAAGCACTTTTGTAAAAGTGTTTTCATAAAAGTACTTTAATAAAAATGCTCTCGTAAAAGTACTTTGATAAAAGTGTTTTTGTGAAAGTACTTCGTAAAAGTGTTTTTATAAAAGTACTTATATATAAGTGCTTTTGTAAAAGTACTTTCATAGAAGTGCTTTCATAAAAGTACTTTTATAAA